GTGGCTCTCATCTTAACCTTGAATCGACTCACTCCCGCACAGAATTATTTACTGCTGCAGGATTTGCGAGGAGGGCTGGGGGAGGTCAATTGCAAGGATAAAATAGAGGAAGGCTGATCGGTGTTTGCGCTCGCCAGAACAGCCATGATGCGGTTCGCGGGTGGGAGGAGCCCCGGCGAAGGAGCGCGTGCGTGACCCGTTCGAGTAATACAAGGGAAACCGGAATTCCCGGCGGTGTCGGAGACTGCCGACGACGGTTCGATGCTCCCCGGACACCTGTTTCCTCACCCCACCGCCGCCCGACCTAGCCACCTTTCCATTCGTTACGCGCAAGATGTGCGCTAAGTCTGCCTTATCTCCCCGTTTCTCCCTCCCATCTCGCTCTCTCGCTCGCTGTTTGCTCGTTTCTCAATTCCACGTGGATTATGCCGAAGCATCGGATTTCTTTCTTTTTCTCCTTTCTAAGTCGCGCTTTTTGTTCAGGTTACTGACTGGCTTAAATTTAAAGAGACTCGGAGACGATGAGGCTTCTTCCCTCCAAGATTATCGACGAGAATGTACTTTTTCTTCGAACGAGTCTTTTTGCGGGCTCAACGAAATCTCGCGCTCGATTCAAACAATTGGAAATGTCAATGTCGGCCATTCTTACACAGACGCTCGCGTGCACACACACACACCCTCCCCCCTCCCCCCTCCCTCCCTCCCTCTCTCGTACACTCGGTTTGTCTGTCTTATAGGATGGCAAAGTGGCGCTTAGCTAGCTATTTCCAAGCTTCTTTGGTTGTCTTAAAATTTCGAGTTACCTTCTTCTTAAGGAATGACTTTCGCTCCCATTGTCGCTGTCGTTTCTCCTCGTGAGAAGGAGCCTATCCTTTAAAATAAAATACAATAAAAGAACGAACAACGAGAAAAAGGAAAGGAAAAAAAAGTGTTCCAACGTCGAGGGGAACGTTAATTTCATATCGAGGAAGCAAAGGACTATTTTTAAAAACACATTTCAAAACGTTTAGCTCTTGAAGATGCGCGTTTGAGTCTGCGCGCATTCGAGCTACGGGACGACAATCATATTTGAGAAAGGGCTTTGTTGAAATTGAGAAGGGTCGTGGCTTTCTCTATCGCTCTCTCTCTCTCTCTCTCTCTCTCTCTCTCTCTTTCCCCGGCCGGGTAACAATTTTGATTTAAATGGCGAATGAGAAGGACGGCAGGGGGTCAGTGAAAGCATCTTCAAAGCCGAGTAAATAAGTTCCACGAGGCGTAAGGCATTATAGAAGCGTTTCAGAAGCGGTCGAACGGCGAGCGAACGCTCGTGCGAAATTAATCCTGTTACGCTGGACGAGAAGAATTTACATAATCACGTGACCCTTTAATATCTTCGCAAATTTTGTCGGTTTCCTTGAGCGAGTAAGCTACCGTACAGAGCAGCATCGAATACCGTAATGGAAAGTATATTATAATCCGGGATTTCGAATCGGTCTCACGTTTTTTTTTTGTTTTTTTTTTGTTTTGTGTTTTTTTTTTGTCGAGTCCGCAGCTAATGATATTATTAAGCGAACTCGACGAGCGCGGCACCTTTGTACGACGATCCTCGTGCGATAATTGCGAGCGGGCGCACTTCATTAAGCTCTCCATGTGCATTATTAGATATTTATCAGGCTGGCATTTGAAATTTCCACCAATTTTACAAAGTGGACGTGAAATTCCAACGGCGTAGCGACAATGAAGAGAAGGGGTTTATCGGCTTTATAGGCTTATCGGTACGCACGCCCGCGACACAACACCTTTAATAAGGAATTCGAGTGAGTAATTCTCCTCCTCCTCCTTCTTATCCGTTTCACTCGAGCGGCGCTCACCTCGGTTCGCTTGGCTAGCACGCAACGGAAAACACGTTTCACGAGTTTCTCTCGCAGCTCCGTGTCTCTGTCTTGCCCCGTGTTCTGGTTGTGTCTAGATGTCGAGACGGGTGCTTTAATATTCAGGAGCTCGCGACCAAAGATTAGTATTTTTCGCAAACGTTCGGAGCTCCATTGATCCTGTCTCTGTCTCTCTCTCTCTCTCTCTCTCTCTCTCTCTCTCTCTCTCATACACCCACGGTCGTGTCTTGGAAAAGTTGGATGGATCATTTAATTTTCGCGGAAATTATACGCCCACTAATGAATATACTGTATATACTGCTGTATGGTTGCGCTTCTTATCGGTATTACGTAACGATTTTGACGACGTTGCACTGCCAATGCGCAAGGATTCTTGTATAAACATGTGCCTTGTGCGTTACAGCTTATCGAAATAACTATTACTCCACTACCGCTTATTCGTTTCATTGAAACGTGTATATATATATATATATATATATATTTAACGACATTTGCTTTAAAATTCGTTGCGCTTGAGCGAGGCCTTATTAGGCTCATTAAGAAATAATATGCTTGAAAATTACTCGAATTCTTGCATTTCAGGTAGAACGGCAAACACGAGATTTTATTATGCTTTTGTTGGATTATGCGTGGAATCATTTTTACAAGGAATTGCAATATTATTACTCGACGTGAAAAATAAATATTTTTAATGTATTATTTGTCGTAGCTGCGCCTTGACGAATGTCACAAAATAGTATATCGCTTATTTACATCAAAGCCAACGAATTTATTGTCCGTACACGGGCATAGAGTGCCTAATTTTACTTATTTCTTTACCTCGAATATAAACAAGCGGCACAATTCGAGCGAAATAAATTAACTTGTATTCCGGAAAACGAGCCTGTTCCGACAAATTCTGAATTCAGCATAACCCACCGAGTTTCTTAATTAAAGAAGTAGAAAAAAAAAAAGAAAAAAACATTGCCCGACACAAAGAATTCTTAAAAATCTCTTCGATTCTACGAGCACTGTTAGCCCAAATATTCAAAGAAGAACGAATGCTTGAAAAATGAATTGCAACAATTAATACACTGAAAATCGCGTAGGCAGAAATTGCTCGGATTTAATGGATTAATCAAGCTTTTAAATATAATGATCGATCGCATTTAAACAACATCGTCCGATTTCTCTACAATGATATGAGATCACCGATAAAACGATAAAATAAAGTTTACTTGGATATTCGAATTTTTAATGTAGCAACACACAACGTTGAAATTGAATTTTTAACACTCGTGCTCGAGGCATTGCCGAATATGTCGGCAAAAGCCAATGACTCGGCAAGACTGAAATCTAACGGCGAATATACATAAACGAATGAGAAAATGCACGGAGTCGTATCGAATTCAGGATAATTCCGCGTCGTCGTTGAAAAATCGTATGTGGTTGGAATTCACAAGAAGAAGAAGAAGAAGAAGAAGAAGAAGAAGAAGAAGAAGAAGAAGAAGAAGAAGAAGAAGAAGAAGAAGAAGAAGAAGAAGAAGAAGAAGAAGAAGAAGAAGAAGAAGAAGAAGAAGAAGAAGAAGAAGAAGAAGAAGAAGAAGAAGAAGAAGAAGAAGAAGAAGAAGAAGAAGAAGAATAAGAAGATGAGGAGGAAGAGGAAGAAGAAGAAGAAACGACTATTTGACGAGCACCTTTTCCACGATGATCTTTCACTGTCAATTGGATAATCATAGGTTATCGTCCTCAAACGCACTCTTAGTACACTTGTGCGAAAATATCCTTCAACTCGAAATAATTGACCAAGTAAGAAACCGTTCGAATCGGGAGTCTAGTTTAACGTAATTAGACTCTTCCCGTATTTAGGCATATTTGCAATCGACTGATTCACTATGGACTTTACTTACTGTAATGTCCGTTCAACGTTTAAAAAACAAAACCAAACAAAACAAATCAAAAAAAAAAAAAAAAAAAAAAAAAAAAAAAAAAAGGAAAACAAAGGAACAAAAACAGAAAAAAAAAATTCATAACTGTTCAACGAATATTGACATTGTAATTGTCGAGGTCGTATCTGTTCGTGCTCGTTCCTTTTCTCTCTTTCTTTCCTATTTTTTTTTCTTTTTTTTTTCAAAAGCTGCGAGATAATATAAGAGCGACTGGCATTGACGTATTATTTTACGTAAACTCTATAATATTAACACGATCGCATTAGCTTGGTCTCTCTCACTTAAAGAAGAGAGAATACGGGCGGTAAAAATTGAAAGAAAAACAAAACAAGAGAAGAAAAAAAAATGTTGAACTACTTTTGAGAGAAGAGAAAAATCAAGTTCATTAACTCTCCGACTCAAGGTACTTCGTTTAAAAAATACTTTGGGCGCTGCTAGGCTTATGAGATGTTGGATTTAGAAAAGCGATATTGCGATCATTAGTCTTTGTCATTTTCTATAAGGCAATAAACTTTTTTTTTGTTTTTTACAACTGACGAAACCTGATCGGAAGGGGCATTTGTTTTATGCCGGGACTTTAATAAAACGATTGCGAGAACGTAAAGTCGACGCTCCGCTCCTCTATTGTCGAGCGCACAGTCGCCATTATTAAGAAAATGGAAAATGTCCACTGCTTGTTGCAAACGGAAAGGCAAAGTTTGAAAAGTATCACTGAATGAAGGCAAGCTTGTCGTTGACGCCGTAAAGCGCCCGGGATTTTAGCAATTGAGCAAAGTGAAGTCCAAGTTGAAATCGAGCAATTTTAGGATGTCGAGAGTCGCGGACTTGCGTAACCGAAACGACATTTACAAGTTACAAGTGCAGTGCAGAGGCGACTTGCATACATCATTCGTTACTCGGGGTGTAAAAAGCCGTTGGTCCGTGGCGCACTTTCCGTCGGCAACGCAACTCGCGGGCATCAGGAACGCTATTATTTTTGTTTTAGGCTCGATCTTGCCTTTGTCTATCTTGGTGGTGGTGGTGGTGGTGGTGGTGGTGGTGGTGGTGGTGG